ACTCCCCCAGGAGTAAATAGTCAACCTGCAGCTTCTACATAATCCAAAGCAGCTGCCCACTTTTCATAGTAAAAGATGGACCTTGGGGTTCTTCTCCTGACCTCACCTTTTCTACAACTGGAGAACACCCTCCAGCAGTCAAAGAGTATAAAGTGCTTGATAAATTTCTTCAATCCCAGGATCAGCCATTCCCAGTCACAATTGGCATGCAAATTCCAACTACAAATGGACTCTAGAAACCTTGGTGGGGTTTCTGGAAGGTAAGGTGAGATCTGTTCCAATCTGAGTTGGCATCTGTGATAAATGAAGGGGGGGGGCGGTAGATCCCTTTTATGGACACCCACCCAGCCAGTTAGCTACAAAATCCCTGTTAGTAGCTCTTCTCTACTTGCTTTATCTGTCAAGGGTTAAAAAAACCTGTTGATAAAAGGAAGGGAGTGGGCACCTGACCATAAGAGCCAATAGGAGGGCTAGAACTTTTAAAAATTGGGAAAAAACTTTCCCTTTGTCTATGTGTTGTTGTTCTCTCCAGAGAGGAGACACAGAGCAGCAATGCTGTAAGAAGCTTGTACCAGGTATGAAAAATCATTCCTAGAAACTACTTATTGGAAACCCCTGATATGTAAGTAGATCAGGAAATGTTTAGGAAGATGCAATTAGGTTTATCTCTTTTATTTCTATAATGGTTGTGGACTCCTCTGTGCTAACCCCCAAATGCTTTTGTTTCGCTTGTAACCATTAAGCTGGACCTCAAAAAAACCATTCTTGATGCTTAATTATTATATTTGCTCTTTTTAAATCTAGCAATAGCCGAAGTTCCAGATGTATTTTCTTTCTTCTTGTTTTTAATAAAATTTATCTTTTTTAATAACAGGATTGGGTTTTTTATGTCCTAAGAGGTTTGTGCATATGTTGTTTAATTAGCTGGTGGCAACAGCTGATTTCCTTTGTTTTCTTTCTCAGCTCTTCGCCGGGGTGTGTGTGTGTGTGTGTGTGTGTGTGTGAAAGGGCTTGAGGGTACCCCACAGGGAGGAATTCCCAAGTGCGCCGTCCTGGGTTCAAAGGGGTTTTTTGCATTTTGGTGGTGGCAGCATCTACCCATCCAAGGTCAGAGAGAAGCTGTAACCTTGGGAGTTTAATACAAGCCTGGAGTGGTCAGTATTAATTTTTAGAATCCTTGTGGGCCCTCACCTTCTGCACTTGAAGTGCCAGAGTGGGGTATCAGCCTTGACAGCATCTCTTATGGCTCGAAATCAAATATTCAGAACAACATCAGTGCCGTCTACCAAGATTTTTGCTATAAAATTCTGGCCACTGCAAAGGAATCTATACCTCAGAGATTTCACCAACAATTCATTCCTGGACAGTCATCTGATGCAATTAGACTATATTAGGAATTTAAATCCTTCATAAGTAAACAGGACGGTTTTGACAGAAGTAGAGGCTCTTGTCCCCTTTTAGATTAAGCCAGGTAAGAGCAACGGAAAGAAATCGTTCCAAATTGAACTTCACACATTCCAGTCAGAAATCCTGGAAAACTATAACTTCTGTCAGGATGGGAAAATACTCAGATTCTCAGGGAAGTGTATGCCTCCTTATTTGGGATTACAAGTATTGCTCTTTCCAGCCAGTTTGGTGTTATCCCATTCAAGATGCACCAAAGGGAAAGTGTCTCAGTTTTTGATCTAATAGGCTGAATCCAAGTCAGACTGTCAACTGTGCAGCCGGCTTAGTTTCTTTATTTTCACTTCTATTTTGAAATCAATTTAAGGTTAAAGAACATTGCCAGATTGACAGCACCAGTGACCAAAGAAGTCTCTTAATTGAATTTCTTTCAGTGTCCAGAACAGGGAAATTAAGGTTATCAGCAGTACTAGCTTCCCCTATACTGCTCCATCAAGGTGCATAAACTCAGGTTTTTGAATGACAACCTTTATGGCTCAGAGGGTATTTTTGCCCCCCAATTATATTCAGTTTTTTGCTTGTCTATTAGCACTGCCAACAAGGGTAGCAATTAAAGCCAATTGTGATGGAGGTTTTGTGTGGTTCATTAGAAACTGCACTCTGACAATTGAGTGATTTCCCATGGACTAACCAGCCACCAGACAATATCAGCCTGTGCCAGATTTAAAATACAGTGTCTGTATCCTGTTATCAATCACTGGATGTTTCCAGACCCCGTTATAAACCACTTTTGGCTAAATAAATTACCTCTGGCTTTGCTCGTGCAGGCTGAGTCTATTTCCCATCAATTGTTAATGAAGACTGTGACTGATGGCTAGACCTGGACATCTGGTTTATAATTTTATATTAAACTTTTGAACTTTTATATAATTTTTCTATGAATAATTTCCTTATTCTATGCTGTAAATCTACAAGCTGGATATTAAGGCAGAAGGCTAACAGAACAGAATATTACTCATGCATCTCGTGGATGATTTAACTGAGTCAGTATGAAAGTTTAACTAAAGTGTGTGTCTATGGTCCAAACAAAAGGGAGCATTGGCAGGTGCATGAGCCTAGTTATTGAAGAGCCTTCTCTAAAGTAAAAGCATTTCTAAAATTTTTAACAGCTCATATTAGTCTTCTGCTCATAGAAGTGATTCTGCAGGTGCACTGTAACGCACATGGGCATAGATATAGAATATCATCTACATGAGGAACTGAGAGGACGTTAAGGAGGGTAACAGATGCAGGACAAGGGCACTGAGCTATGTTCATATAAACCGTCCACACTTTTTAGATAGCATATAAACTACATGTATAGAAATGTCTATAGGTTCAAATCATCCCCTCAGTCATGCATTTTAGTGAAAACAGCTTTTCAGCAGCAGCCTATAGTTGATGATTAAGAAGATAAGGAAACTAGATGAATATACGTGACCAGTCTGACATTTTCAAATATCATTAACTTACTTATTTCTAAATGGTAATCTCTGAGAAATGTCAAAAGGCATTACTGTGGGCTATGTACAGACCAGGTTTCAAAATTTAAAACATAGACATCTTTTGGTTATCAGCATTTAGAAAGGCAAAAAAAAATTCTCCTCCACATTCAAATAAAAGTCAAAAATCAGCTGAAAAATATTTTAATGTCATTTTTCTAAAAGCATTTATTTCTGGGCTGAGACTAGTATGGGAAACTTCAGCCAAAAAGGTAATTTTCTGAGCATCAAAAAATGGGATTTAGAAAAGAAGTGCCATCTCATTATTACCTATTGTGTCACTACCTCAATTTTATAACAATGTTTGGAAACTCTGTATATCAAATGCATGAAGTGACTCAGACTAAATATGTCATAGTTTCTGTAGCTTTATTATTTGTCTTGTAATAGGCACACTATTAAACAAGCTGCATATGCAACATGACTGAGATCTTTTAGTTTCAAATGTGCAACCTTACATTTGTTTTAACATAGTATTTGGAATTTACTAGAATAAAGGTTCAAATAATTCCTGGTTGTTATGGACATGATCAGACTCATATGAGCAAAAGCTCCCTGCTGATTCTTTACATGTGACAAGATCAGCTATGAGCAACAGAAATCTTTCCCTTTTGCTGGGAAGAAGAACACAGTCATCTGAAAGTCCAGCACACTGTGCTTACAAAAGTGTTCTCCTGGCTTGCCAAGCTCAGTGCATATCTAAATATTTCAAACCATTCGTAGCTCTAACAGCACTAGGAGGAGATTACAATGAGCTTTTATTCATTAACATTTTATTACACCATTATTGCATATAAATGCCACTGATTTTGCCTCATTGCCCAGCTTTATTGCATAAGATGAATCAAAGCATTAAGAAATGCCACACAGAGCAGAAAACAACAGATGCATTAAAATAACATGTGCAGCAATGTAAATAACCTCTCAATTATGGGGCATCTGCTTTAGTTTATCACAACATAAAAGGTTATAAAATTAGCTGTGTGCGGTGTACAGTAATGGCTTGTCGTTTTTCTTTGGAGGGCCTTTCTTAGAAAATGTTAAAAATAAAAATATTGAGGGCAGTTAAGAGGACTAGAGTAAAACTTTCCCTCAATGGAAAAAATATGTTGTCAGGTGTACGTTTCCTCCTCATATTTCAGAGGAAAAACCTGTGAATCACTTATTATTTATAACCCACAGTAGTCTTGAAAGTTTTATTAGCTACTGGGCCATTGACTCTACTATGAAAAGGAAAGTAATTGCACCATCCATAATCTTCTTATGCTTCAATCTCAAATGAGCCTTTTACAACAATATATTTTAAGTCAATATTACTGCCTAACACATAGCTCTGTAGGCTCTCCTCTGACTGTGGTGCCCCAAAAAGAGAACCATGTTCTGTTCTATCCCCTCTGTGTTTATAAAGCAAACTTAAACAGAACCTTTGAGGATCTGACAGGCCTGCCTAAGTGTAAGTCTGGACAGATCTGGTTTGTATACGAGAACTACCAAAACACAAGTGGCCCCAGCAATTGCCCTAGGTGTAACCGAGGGCAAAATCTGACTCTTCGTTAGTACAAGATTACGAAAAGAGCTTTCAAAACAAGGAAGCTAATAGCTTCATATTTCCTTGCTAGAGCACTGCCTAAAAATCATTCACAAGTAGAAAGAAAACAATGGTTAAGAAGTTAGCTTAGATTATGTTAAAAGCCACAAGTATGAAAAAAATTCTTAACTCACTTTTCCCAGAAGAAGCTGTGAATAAACACATCCTCCTCAATTGAGGGAGGATGTTAGCAGCATGTGGGCTTTCAGCCAGTTTCCTCACCTTTATTTCATTATTTTGAATATGTTCTCAGTCTTTACTCCTCCTATGCTGGCTCATTCATAATGTGACATAGAAATGCAGCTTGTTTGCTTTCTACCCTTTTCATTGCAGGTCAGCCACTCTGAGGAGTGACTCGATGGCTTGGAATTTAAATTACTACAAATAGGAACTCAAAAGAAAATAACCACTTAATTTTTTGCACCAGGAATCTACATTCAAAGCTTTATAATGAACGTATCACTTACCACCCAAGGTTTGTCGCAAAAATTATAGATTGACTCTAGGGAGTTGACACTGGGAATACCAGCATAATGCATTCCAATGATTAAGTTACGGAAGTCTTCGTTCTCAGCCATACTGAACGAATGTTGTCGAACAAGAACAAAATCAGGTCTGAATGACCTAAAGAGAAAAGGATATATAACTATTAGGCAATGATCAAAGTGTACTTTTTCTAATAAAAGATAATCTTAAAAGGGAAAGTTGTAGGAGCTGTTGGAGAGTAGTAGATGAATTAAAATAGCTTTTACAAGAGAGGTAATGAATTGAAGGTCAGAAAAAAAAGATTGTTATTGGCTGAAGTACAAAACCAGGTGAACATTGTTATTTTTGAGCTACAGCTTTGTTGCATCTCTCTTCACTTTCTTGCTATTAGAGAAGTCATGACTACCAATGGTATCATATCCTTGTATGAAGAATAAGAGCTATAGAGGAATTTCAGGCTACAGCTACACCACGAGCTAGGGTGTGATTCCCTTGGTCACGTCTATACACTTTTACTAGCTCTCATCACGCTAGCGCCCATATAAATAGTAGTATAGCCATGGTAGCACAGGCAGGAGCAGCAGAGACATGGTTTAGCCATGCTGAGCACAAACCCACCTGAAACCAGTGGGTATATACTTAGCACACTTAAGCCATGCCGCCACTGCTACTACCTGTGCTACTGTAGCCGCACTGCTATTTATACTCATGCCAGACTGATGAGAGCAGGCGAAAGTGTGTATATGTGAGCAGAGGAATCACACCCCTAACTCATAGCGCAGACAGCCTCAGAGAGGAGTCCAGCTGGCGTGCTTATAGATTCAAAAACTTATGCTAGATACTCCTTTCAGATGCAAAGCAGTACATCAACACTTCACTCTGATATATGATATACTATATACCACGTGCATTATATATACATGTTGTATTTGCAGTATTCTAGCTTCAGTTTTTTACCCTTTGTATCTCAGAGATGCATTGTTTTATAAAAACGTTAAAAGTTAAAGTAATTCACAGCTTTTTTCCCCTCATAAAATTCCTAACCAATGTCCTAATGTTTAACTTTGAAAACATGTGGGCTGTATTGCTAAATAATTTCAATGTGTATTTTATATAAATCACTGCCACTTCAGTCAAGCAGAATTAGATAGTTTAATGTGTTTGCTTTATTCCTGTTAACTGAACTTAATTGCTAATGATAAGTCCATTTTAGTACAATGGGGGTCTAATTTATCATGAATCAGCTGTCTTTAAAAAGCAGGAAGTTTGGGCAACATTAAATGTAAGCCTGTACAAATACTGAAATAGCTTTAAATAAAACAACTAATGTTTGTCAAATATCCTAACAGGAAGAACTTAACACCAAGAAAAACTGGTAAATGATGCCAGAAAATATTTTTATAATTTGGAAAACAAGTCTGACCACACAAACTTAGTTTTATCATAACTAAAGGTTTCTTTCTTACCCCTGCATCCTTTAGGCTGAAAAAGAGTCATCAAATTCCACAGCAGATTAAATACAGTGGGTCAGATTCTGTTCTCATTTAGACAGATGTAACCCCAAAGTAACTCCACTGACTTCAACACTAAGCAGTGTAAATGAGATCAGAGTTGGTTCTGTCCCTCTGGGAAGGGCTTCAGTGGAGTGCTGAAAAATCTTCTCTCCATTCCCCTGAAGCCATGCTGCACGGATTAGATTAGCACTCCCACTCAGCATGTGAGCGGGAGCCAAGTGCTTGCCTTAGGCTCCCCTTGTACAGCCCGAGGAACACCTGAGCAAGAATTCTGCTCCTGTGATACATGCAGAGCAGGAGGCAGAGCTCTATGGTCAGGAATAGGCCTTACTCTCCAGCCAGGTGTTATGGGCTCCTCACAACACCAGAGAGTGGAGCAGTGAGGAACAATGTTCCCAGATGACACTTCATACATAGCAGCCATCTCTTTGTTTCCAGAGGTCCCTTTGCATTATCCCTTACATTGACTCCGGTGAACAGGAGACTATAGACAGCTTTGCCATGTCATGAAAATAATCAAGTGCCGCTGTCCCTTTTTAATAGTTTCCATGAAAAAAAAAGACTGAGAAGAATATACAATTCAGGGAAGCACAGCATGTGCAGTCTTAGGCACTGTTGGAGCATAATTTACTGAAAACTAAGCCTTTAGGAGAAGCGGGCAAAAATAAAAGCAAAAACTAGATGTTAAGAACCAGACTAGAACCAAACCTGTCAGATTTGGAAATATTCCAATGAGGTCTCTCCACTTCCATTTCCCAGCTAGGACAAGAAGTAACGAAACCCCGTGAGGCAGCCTGCTCATATGTGATTTTCAGCTGGTGATGGAAACAGAACTAGACTTGTCTATTCTCAGCAAATTTTCAGCCCGATTTTGAGGAAGGATTCAAAAGGTTTGGAATAGAGATGGCTGGAAGCTGCAATGGTGGAATCTGGAACCAGGTCTTTTAGAGATTGGTGCAGGGCTGGCCTGACCATGAGGCGAACTGAGGTGGCTGCCTCAGGTGCCAGACGGTGGGGGGGCGCCACTAGGACCCAGAGTGTAGAAAATTGTGTCTGCTGCTGGTGCATGTGTATTCTCTCTGCTCTAGATGCACAGAGATGGTGGAGTGCTGTGCTGGAGGAAGGAGAGCACAAGAGACATAACAGGCAGGCAGGAGAAAAGGTGAGAGGGAATAACAGAAAGCAGCAGGAGCTGCAGGGAGAGAGAGGAGGAAGAGCCTCTTATGTACCTCTCTAGCACCCCCAGGAGCCTGGACTGATTAACACCAGCTTCTCAGGGAGCTTCCTGTTTCCTGCTGCTTTCCTGAACCCACTTGAGGAGAACAGGCAGTCAGCTGAAGTAGTAGGAGCCAGTTAGGCCCTTAACACGCTGATATCTTCCCTCACTCAAGCCCTGCTACCAGCCTGCTTATTCGTCCCCTTCAATTGAGTGTTGAGAGCCACTATAGCTGGCACAGAACAGCAGTCATGAGTGAAAGAAGAAAACGCCCCTCTGGGGCAGCATTCAGAAAAAGAAAGAAAGCAAAGGAAGCTTTTCTATCTAAGCAGGAAGGAGCTCTCCTGAGATACATAGACACAAATGTTCACGGTGAGCCTTCCGGCTCCAGTGAGAATGTGAGTGGTGAGGAGATGCCTGATCTTCCAGTTAGTCAGAGTGCAGGTGACCTGGCAGCTACTGCAGCATCCATATCTCCATTTCAAATGGATGTAACCATGCACATTCCTGAAGAAAAGTGTAGATCAGAGAAGAGTGTGGTGGAGGCGCAAGAAACAGCTGCTGCTGAGTTTAGTTCCTTAAGTCTAGATGATCCAGGACTGTGGACCCACTTGAAAAGTAGCCTGAGGGACTTCCTTGTACTGCACGGGCCACAGCAAGTGAAAAACTTCATGTTCCCCAAAGACAATGAAAATAGAAGTTTCCATCCAACGCATTACTGGTGTGAAATCCCCAATGGTGACAAAGTGGAGAGGCCATGGCTTATATATTCAAAAACCCAGAATGCTGCATACTGTTTTTGTTGCAAACTCTTCCAGGCTAATGTTCCAGCCACATTGGGTTCTACAGGAACAAAGGACTGGAAAAATCTGGCTAGAAATCTGGCATGCCATGAGAAGGCAGCAAATCACCAGAGAGTATTCCATAGATGGAAAGAGCTTGAGAGGAGACTAAGGTTAAAGGCCACCATAGATGATCAGCATCAAGAGAAGATTGTATCAGTCTCTCTTTACTGGGAAAATGTTCTGAAAAGGCTCTTTGCCATTGTGAGAATGCTTGCTACCCAAAACCTAGCACTGTGTGGCACTTCAGATCAGCTATATGTGCCCAACAATGGAAACTTCCTTAAAATTGTGGAGCTGATGGCTGAGTTTGATGCTATACTCCAGGAACATCTAAGAAGAGTCACCACCCAAGAAATGTACACACACCACTACCTTGGAAAAACAATTCAAAATGAGATCATACAGTTATTAGCAACAAAAGTCAAACAGAAGATTGTGGCAGATCTGAAGTCAGCAAGATATTACTCTGTTATTCTGGTCTGCACACCTGACATCAGCCATACGGAACAAATGACTTTAATGGTGCATTTTGTAACAACTACAGAACCTAGTGAAAATGTCCCTGCAATGGTGACTGTCAGAGAGCATTTTCTAGAATTTATTGACATTGATGATACTACAGGAGATGGTATGACAAATGTGCTTCTTAAAAAGCTGGAAGATATGGGAATTGCGATAGCTGACATGAGAGGTCAGGGCTACGATAATGGTGCCAACATGAGAGGAAAGAACAGAGGAGTGCAGACACGGATCCGAGAATTAAACCCTTGAGCTTTTTTTGTTCCATGCAGATCTCATTCATTGAACTAGGTGGTCAGTGATGCAGCATCAGCTTCTAGTGAGGCTGCTGAATTTTTAAATGTAATTCAAAGCATCTATGTATTTTTTTCTGCATCAGCTCATCGATGGCAAATTTTGAAGCAACATCTGGGAACATCCTCTCTGACACTGAAACCACTGAGTGCCACACGATGAGAAAGTTGAGTGGAGGCGATAAAGCCTATCAAACACCAAATTGGGAAGGTAGATGATGCTATAGTTGCCATTATGGAGGATAATGCTATGACAGGAACTGTTCGTGGGAGAACAGTGGCAGAGGGAAATGGAATCACCAGAAACATACATAACTTCAAATTTCTGTGTGGCTTAGTGTTGTGGCATGACATACTGTTTGAAATAAATGTTGTACGCAAGAGACTCCAAGGTGTTGACCTTGATATATCTGGAGCAACGGAACAACTGAACAAAGCAAAGTCATACCTACGGTCTTACCGGTCAGATGAGGGATTTCAAAACGTTCTGAAGAGTGCACAGAAGTTGTCAGAGGAACTTCACACTGAAGCTATTTTCCCACCCACTCAAGAATAGAAGAGTCACCGAAAAAGAAGATATTTTGATTACGAGGCACGGGATAATCCCATAAGAAACCCCAAACAACAAGTTGAATTCTTTAACCAGGTGCTAGATTGTGCAATACAGTCAGTTGAAGAATGTTTCATGCAGCTCAAGGAACACAGCAGTATATTTGGGATGTTGTATAATATTCCAAAACTCCTCACTATACCTGAAGAAGACCTACACCAGCAATGCAGGGCACTAGAGACAATGTTGTCACATGATGACATGCGCAATATTGATGCGAGTGATTTAGGTGATAAACTGAAAGCCCTTTCAAGATACATTTCAGCAGGATCAACTCCAAAGGCTGTTCTGGAATATATGTGCACAAATAAGATGATCACCCTCTTTCCAAAAGCTTTTGTTGCTCTGTGCATACTTCTAACACTTCCTGTAACAGTTGCCAGTGGAGAACGCAACTTCTCCAAGCTGAAGTTAATAAAAACACATCTACGCTCCACAATGACACAGGAAAGGCTGGTCGGCCTTGCAACCATCTCAATAGAGCATGAGCTGGCCCAGACTGTGGACCTTCAGCAGGAAGCAGTTCAAATCTTTGCAACCAAGAAGGCATGGAAAGCACCACTTTGATTATTCAAACAGATAAAAATGCCAGTGTTTACTATGCAGACAAGAAAAGTTACATTTGCGGTTCAGGCGTTTGAAAGTTAAGTGTTACTTAAAATTTTTGAACAAGACATTTTAAGTTGTTAGTTCTCCTTTATTGGGGTAGGTAGCAGAGCAGTACCATGAGAGGAGTAGAACAGGAAGAAGGCAGAATTGAGACCTTTCAAAGTTTTGGCCCAAGCGAGCGGGTATGGGGGCGTCATTTGAGCTCCCCGCCTCAGGTGCCAAAATGTTGTGGGCCAGCCCTGGATTGGTGATATCTCAATCTGGGTTTTGGCCTGGTCCATTATCAACATAAGGGCTATTAGCATAATTCAGATATTGACGGGGGTTCTGATTTCATATACCCCAAAGTATTCAGGTCGATTGGCTTTGGTTTGGGTCTGCTCTAGGGATGTAAAACATTAGCCAATAAGCATTACTCTTACCAGTTAACCCGCCTTAACTGTTAACTGCCAGCCAGCCTGCCAACCCCAGTGGCCCCAGCCACACTGGCACCAGCCCCTGCCGGATCAGCCCCAGTGGCGCCGGCCCCTGCTGGATCAGCCCCTGCCCCAGCCGCACTGGCTGGATTGGCCCCAGCCATGCCGGCCAGCCTTTTAATTGGTTAACCATTTAAATTAAATATTTTTTAATTGTTTAAGCAGTTAACTTTTTTAACGATATTTACATCCCTAGCGTGCTCCTAGTTCTGATGGTTCAGGTAAGTATCTGAGTTTCTGGATGTTTATCCAAAACTAAACCCAACAAAATCTTCCACTCATCACTATGCTTTAGTAAATTGAGCAACTGAAACCTTGACATTTAGGTACTGGCAATGCTGGAGGTGAAGGGAAGCAGAAGACTTAGAATCATAATATTCAGTTTAGAATCATAATATTCCTTAGAATAAGTTCCTGTGACAGGCTAGCGACAGATTCCCAACCACACTAAATTTCATGTCTAGAAAAATCAGTGACTAGCTTGAAGCAATTAATCTATGGTGAGCAATATAATAATACCAGGGAACATTGTGGGGCATCAAAGTATATTGTGAATTGGATAGTGTTCATTAGCTTTACAATCAGAAAAAGGAAAAAAAGTTATATGAAGCTGACAGTAAATCAAGTACTCAACTATAATTACATTTTTTTATGCTACAAAAGCATGCCCATAATAAATGCAGGCAATATCCTAGGGCTTCATTTTTCAGAACTATTTAAAGGATTTGAACCCCTGATTCCTACTAAAAATCAATGGCAACTGCACATTCAAATCTCTTAAGAAGATTCGATATTCCCAGCCTGAACGCAGCTGGACATTTGCACTGTTTTCCAAGTATACGGCATAATTTGTCTGGAGTAACATTACAAAGATTAGTAGTTAGATGAAATGGCATTGTAGACTGGACTACAAACTGGTAAATTAATGCTTGCTTTTTATCAAGTTATCCTTAGGGTATTTACAGGATAGTTCTGAGAACATGTGATCTAGGTTTCAGTGGGGAATGTCAAGTGCACTGAAGTGTGTGTCGTGTAAGGAAATTCAATTTACTGGCACAGTATGGGTAAAAACACTTGAAGGATTAATGATCCTCCTCCTTTATTTTTGCAGAGCAGCCAGGGCAAGGGAGAGACTGCACCTTTACCTTACAAAAAGGGGAAAATCATTGAGGGATTACACATCATCTCAGAGTGTACTGTGCACTTAGACAAAGGAAAAGAATAGGAAGTGCCCCTTTAAAATGTAAGCTCTCTGAATTGATCCAAGATGGAACTGACCTAAGTCTCCCCTCCACCCCACATCCTCTCCGTTGAAGACTTTGGTGCATGAGATTTAGAGGAAGGAATGCAAGATGTTTGTACATTCTGATAAGAATAAAGAGAGTGAGTTACAGTTCTGTAATTGATACTGGACAGAAAGTCTACACATGACTGTATATACATACTGTATACACATACACATATAGAGGTGTGTGCACAATGCTCACCACTGGCACAAACCCTCCCAAACCCCAAAATCTCAATGTTTTGTGACAAATGTTTTTCCATTTTTTCCAGAATTTTCCCCCTTTTTTTGTGAAAACGAAAGGCAGCTTTTGCATGTTTAAAAAAATCTTCCTGGTAAACCCTACAAAATGGAAAGTTTCTCTCTTGGGAAAATACATAAAAATGTATGATTTTGTCCAGAAAGCGACATTTTGCTCTACAAAGCTGTGCTAAAAGTTCCCTTTGAATCACATTAGCAAGTACTACCAAAACAAGTTTTCTCATCTGAATATTCAGAAATCAAAAACTGCTATTAAATCTCATTGCATATATTACAAGTGAAGTCCTCGCCCCATTGAAGTCAATGGGAATTTTTGCCATTGACTTCAATGGGCCACTGTTTCACCCTGAAAGTGGAGCTCTTCCTGTGTCTATCTTCTAAGAGGTTGACTTAGGCAAAAAAAGGTACATGGTGCACATCCTGTTATCTGACCCATACACTAAAAAGTGGCTTAAACGAAGTTTCTTGTCAGCTGAACATTTAAAGAACACTCTTCAGTGTACCTCTGCATTCCTATAGGCTGCTATAAAAAAGATGGAGAAAAATTGTTCTCTCTTGCCACACACAGAGGACAGGAGAAGAAGCAGTGGGTTCAAACTACAGGATAGCAGTTTTAGATTCAATCTCAGACAAAACTTCCTAACTGTAAGCACAGTAGGACAATGGAACAGACGGCCTAGGGAAGTCATGGAAGCTCCTTCACTGGAGGTTTTCAAAAAGAGACTGGATAGCCATCTGTCTTGGATGGTTTAAACACAACAAATCCTGCATTTTGGCAGAGGGTTAGATTAGATGGCCCTGGCCCTTCTAACCCTATGGTTCTATGATTCTAAATGATCTCCACTGGTCCAAATATTTAATAGGCTTCAGACAGTGGAGTTTCAAAAAAGGGTGAGATATATTTAACCAAAAGACTGCCACAGGAGTTGAATGATTTTTCACTTATTTATGACAAAGGATGTATGTAGAAACATAGTTATATGTTTTAATAAAATTAAAAAGGATAAACATAGTAAAACAATCATTATTAATTTCAATGCAGTAGTTCCTGCGGCAGGATAAGAGCTTTTCAGACACACAAGATGACACAGCCCCAGCCCCAAAAGGCTTCCAATTGAAAAAGCTTGCTCCAGGGGTAAGTGGGGAGTTTATACTAGATTTCAGTATGGGAAACCTTTTTTCCTTTATGACACTATTTAAACTCCACAGGGAAAAATTCACAATAATATACTAGTGTATAATGTACTTGTGACTGATCAGTGATGTTTCAATCATCTTCAAAACAGAAAGAACATATTTATACAGGTACACTGGCATGCACATATTACAATTGATGATCTGTTTTCATTTAGGTCCTGATCCTGCACTGGGCCCCATGTGGAATTCACTGCAGTATAGTGTCAACAAATCTAATAAGTGATCTATGGGGACAAGAAGGAATGTTTAAAGAAAACTGAAAACAAATTAAAGCTTTCAATGCTATGTAGTTCTAGTTCTACACTATCCTGGCAATTCCATTAGGTTGCCACACCCATAAAAATGGTAATAATTTACTGAAGAGATCCTTTGTCAGCTCACTGTTATACTTGCTCACACACAAGTGTCACAACTAGATTTCGTCACACTGCCAGGTTGCTTTCTTTTTTGATGTTGACCCCAGTGAATTTGAGGCATTTCTCATGAATCAGGATTCCTTGTAGGAGGGGTACCATGTGTGGGCAAGTACAGCTACAGAGAAAGGTATCTCCTCTTACTCAAGCATTTTACTAAGGAATAACAGTTAATTCTTTCCTTCAAGGATTACACCTTCTTATGCTTTATTCAGGTGTGCTTTTGTTTCTTTGTTTTGTTTTTTTAAACTTACCTGACAACTTTGGTGCCATTACGGAATGCTTGGATGTCTATAGCATAACTGCCATCAGCATGGGCTATCAAGTTGATCTCTGAAAATTGTGCCTATGAAAAAAGACTCAGATAAGTCAACCTGCTTTTATTTTACCCACATTTTAACTAACTTCCTTCTCTTTATTTTAAACATTAGCGTTTAATTGCCAATGATGTGCCTGAAACATAACTAGTATTGAAAACAAATACTTTTCACCTAAAAAAGTCTGGCACATACACATCACCAGAAGTTTGCCACAATTCTAACATACTAAAAGAAAAAATGGGCTAAAGCATGAATATATCCATAGTAAGGGCCTATTTGGGGCTCATACATAGGATGAGCATATTTCCTTCTTCATCTCTGTATCAAAGGTTTGATATTTATTTTTGCTCTGTGTGGCATTTCAGTGGAAAATTAATAGAGAGACTACTTAAAATTATAGCCTATGTTTTCCAGAAACCATATTCCCAAACTGTGAATTAGAGGCAAATACCATACGTAAACAGAGCACCTGCTTACAGCATGTGTATCAATGTCCCTACATATACACACATTTTCTGTATTATGTGCATTTATTTTTCTTCTAAAGAGGTTCCACATCAAGTATCCTACGCACAGCACTATACAGTCAAAATTCACAAATGCAGAATTTCTGTTAGAGAGATATTTTCTCACACTAGAAATGTGACATTTACAAGGACAATAATTCAATTCCATGCTGTTCGTGAATAAAGTGACACTGTGATCCCTCAGTTATTTGAAATAAAAGGACAGGATGTTTTTCATTTATGTATAGTCTTTCATCTACATAGACTCCCAAAGCTCTTTACTATAACACCGCACAGCAGAAATGCACCCAGTTATAGTCTTTTGGTTGGATAAATGAAGGCATCTTTGCTGTCCCAGATACCAATATAGAAAGCACCAGAAGGCTCACTGAAAACTGAAGTCAATGGAAGTTTGCCTGAGTAAACCCTGTCTATGAGCCTCAGAGCTTGGCCATGCAAAGTGCTGACTAATCTGACCCAATCCAGCAAAGCACTTGAGCATGTGCTTAACTTTAAGCATGTGACTAGCCCATTGAATCTAAACACACGCTTAAGTGCTCTGATGGAGAGGGGCCAGAATGCTCTGGACCTTGCTGGATGAAGCCCTCGGCACATAGTTTTTAAATGAAATTGATAACATACACACTATACAATGGAAATGTCAGAAGTTATGAATATACATCTAAGAACTGAGGCTGTTATAGCATCATTAATTAAGAATATGTTTAATTTGATACTGGCTTCTAATCTTTCCCATTCATTAATCAGGTTAAAAAGACCATTTCCAGTGGCCTGCCTCCTCACAGTATCCCAATCATGTGTTTTGCCATTGAATTAAAAATTTGACAAGTGCTAGAGAGGCTGCAGGTTTATTTTTGTATATAATGAATGGGCCTAACTGCTCCAATGGACAGTGGGCCAAATTCTTGACATCTATGTTGGAAAGAAGGAAAAAGATTTCACAGTACAGGAAAGTGCTCTGATATTCAGAGCAACGGTGAGCGGGATTCTCATCTCATGGGAGCTTGTCCGTAAGGTGCAACATGCCCTCCAATTTCTAGGTATAACTGTGTGTAACAAATGCAGCAAGTATTAAGGCAAATGTGACACTGAGAATTCCCCCTGTTCAGGACTCGGTGAGGGTGGGGATGGATGACTGTACCCCATCTACCTTTTTGTTAGACTACATTTTCTCTGGGCCCTCCATGAACTTGTGTACTCCAGTACCAAGTTAGGGAGAAGTCTGCACTTTCCAAGTCCTGCATTTCTGATGGACATATGCTGTTTGCTCAGTGTCTGAACCCTCTACCTGCATTATGATGTTCAGGAAGTCCAACATGCTGATAATGCACTGCTGGCAGTTACTAACTATAAAATATTAAAATAGTGTCAGTGACTCAGGTTAATTGCACAGTCGGAAACTTCTGTTACCATGGGATTAGTAGGGTCCACAAAAATAAAAAAACTGCTCAAACTTTCACTGTCCCATCCCCAAAAAGCAGATCCCAATTCTGCAACAGACTCTGTGCCAAGAGAATCCTTGAGCCCGTGTGGTGCTCCAAATGACTTCAATGTGTCTCCACACTAGGGTTGCGACCGGAACACCCAGTTGAAAAGGGACCCTGTCAGCTCCCGTCAGCACTGCTGACTGGGCCGTTAAAAGTATGGTTGGCGGCTCAGCAGGGCTAAGACAGGCTCCCTGCCTGCCCTGGCTCCGTGCGGCTCCCAGAAGCAGCAGCATGTCCTCCCTCTGGCTCCTAGGTGCAGGGGCAGCCAGGGGGCTCCGCACACTACCCCCCAACCAGAATGCTGGCTCCGCAGCTCCCACTGGCCGGGCACCGCCAGCCCCCTGCCAACCTCCCGCACCCCAACCTCTGCCCCAGCCCTGAGCCCCCTCCTGCACTCCAAACCCCTCATCCTGGCCCCACCCAGAGCCTGCACCCCCCGTACCCCTAACCCTCTGCCCCAGCCTGGAGCTCCCCACACTTTGAACCCCGCAGCCTCACCCCCCCAAGCCCAGAGCCCCCTCATGTACCCCAAAACCTCATCCCCAGCCCCACCCCAGAGTCCGCACCCCCATTCAGAGCCCTCACCCTCTCCCGCACCCCAACCCCCTGTCCCAGTCCGGTGAAAATGAGCAAGTGAGCAAGGGTGGAGGAGAGCAAGTGAAGGAGGGAGTGGGGAATGGAGTGAGTGGGGGGTGGAGGGGAGCAAGGGTGTTTGTTTTTCTGCAATCAGAAAGTTGGCAACCCTACTCCACATGGGTACTGCTTGTGTGACGTGAACTACAGGATTGGATCTATGTCTGAACTATATTTTAGGTCAAGATAATACGCTTCCCTTTTCCCTAACCCCAACAACACTCCTGCCGATCCCCACAAGACTTTCCATGCTTCTGAGTTAAAAATGTGGATCAGATTCTCAGCTGGCATAAAGCAATGTGGTTACATTCAATTCAGTGGAGCTACATTGGATTTACATTAGCTGAGGACCTGGCTCATGATGTTTTGTTCTCTCAGGGCCTTATTCAAAGATTCCAGAGACAAAACAATCCCTTTTAAGTGAAAAAAAAATACGGAAAATATTCATGGCTACATTCCCTTTTATAAACAGTAACTGAAAGCACCCAAAGAACGTGTTTATTGCCCTTTTCAGAAATCCAATTCAAGTGAAATCTGTATAAATCTTCTAAGGCACTCCAGATATATATGGCTTTATCCCATGTTTTAGAAGTGCTAAAACTGCAATTGGGATACATATACATTTTAAAATTAAGAAGGCAATAGAGTGAACCAGAAAAAGCCAACATTCAGTCCTACTCATCCTTTGGGAAATCAGTTGTCCGTAGCTAACCCCTCTGATCATTTCATATTTTTACTACTATGCAAAGCTATGAGGATACTCTAGTAAGAGCTGCATTAAAATGAAAATGAATACTTGAAACTTTTATTGCAGTCTCCTGAGGCTGCATCCCAGGGCCATAGCAAGGGTTGGGATAATCAGGCACAACAGTGAAGGGACCATAATCATGACACTGGACTATAATGTGCCATGGCACCACCACATTAGAAAAAACAGTTAATGGGGGGTGGGCACTTAAGATCCCCCCTCAAAAGTACCCCTCCCAATTAAATACGTTTGATTTTGCCACATTCATAACTCACAACAAAATTTCACAGTAGCAAAATTTTCACGAAGCTTTTGGCATTGCTTAAGAAATTCCATAAAAGAAGAGCTAGCAAATTCACATGCTATTTAACCCACTTACACTCTCTGACTATATAGAAAATGATAAATAAATATTTGTAACATCTAGAGTAAATAGTTTAGTTACCTGTTCAACTTTGATGTCATATTCCCCATGGACCTTTTTCCCACGAAAGCACTTGACCCTGAAAAAAGAAAAATGTCACTAAGTTATGTACAGTAATACATGCACATTAGTGTACTTGAGAAAGGACATGTAACAATAATCAGTAGCCAGGTTTAGTTTCCATATGATTTTCTGTATATTATAAATATATATACATCATTGATTATTACACATTGGTCTATTTTACATACCCATATCCTCTAACTAGCCATCTCTTCTCTTTCGTTCCAATTATGGTACTCAGAAAAATCAGTATGCTTCCACCACAAGAGGTATCCCAAATGTTGTTGTTATAACACACTTTAATCTCTATATATTATAATAAAATGGTTACTTATGACAAGATGACAGGTTTCAGAGTAGCAGCCATGTTAGTCTGTATCCGCAAAAAGAACACGGCTGCTACTCTGGCACTTGTGGCACCTTAGAGACTAACAAATTTATTAGAGCATAAGCTTTCGTGGGCTACAGCCCACTTCTTCGGATGCATATAGAGTGGAACATATATTGAGGAGATATATATACACACATACAGACAGCATGAACAGGTGGGAGTTGTCTTACCAACTCTGAGAGGCCAATTAAGTAAGAGAAAAAAACTTTTGAAGTGATAATCAAGATAGCTCAGTACAGACAGTTTGATAAGAAGTGTGAGAATACTTACAAGGGGAGATAGCCACCCGCAGGTGAATCTATCTTACAACAGAAAAACTTCAAAAACAGACTCCAACGAGAGACTGCTGAGCTGGAATTGATATGCAAACTAGATACAATCAACTCAGGATTGAATAAGGACTGGGAATGGCTGAGCCATTACAAACATTGAATCTATCTCCCCTTGTAAGTATTCTCACACTTCTTATCAAACTGTCTGTACCGAGCTATCTTAATTATCACTTCAAAAGTTTTTTTCTCTTACTTAATTGGCCTCTCAGAGTTGGTAAGACAACTCCCACCTGTTCATGCTCTCTGTATGTGTGTATATATATCTCCTCAATATATGTTCCACTCTATATGCATCCGAAGAAGTGGGCTGTAGCCCACGAAAGCTTATGCTCTAATAAATTTGTTAGTCTCTAAGGTGCCACAAGTAAATGGGATTTTGCCACTTTTTTTAAGTACTCCTGTTCTTTTTATGACAAGATGTGATCCTGCTTCCATTAAAAACAGTGGCAAAATCCCATTTACTTTTATGCAAACAAGGGTCCTACAATGAATCATGTGAATCTATATGTTCTCAGTTTACTCAGAAGCCTATTCTAGGACAAACTCTGCAAAATCTTGCTCAAAAGGTCAAAGAATTGTCATCTGCCTTTTAAATGAACTTTCAGTGATGACCCTAGATGTGGCACTCAATGAATATCTGGGTGACCAATTTACAACACTATCACGTCAACCTACCCTACCTCAAATATATTTATATTCCACTAGAGACAAAACAGGACCAACACATTTTGACAATGTGTTCCTCTGTATTTGTTGTATTACTTAGCTTTGTGGGTTTTTTTTAGCAGATATTTTTGGAGGAGGATTTTACTTCAAATTGGCATCCTAAACAGTCATTCTATTACGAAGTATTAATTTTATTTCAAAAATTTTAAGCCTTGGATTCCAAGTAGCATTTCATAGCTCTTAAAGTAAGAAAACCAAAGGCATATACCAACACTATAATACTGTTCCTCCTTCTTCCTACATCAGTCTCTTGTTTGACACCAGTGTTGCTCCTCTGCTGAGTGGGAGCAGTTGTCTAGGGCCTTGCAAGTTAGTTTCTAGTGGAGGAGAAATCAGAAAGGCTGAGTCTGAGTATATTCCAAATGTAATTTGCTTTATTTATACACATATACAAGTCCTGAAATGAGATGGTCAAATAGCAATGACTTCTTATAGGCATCTCAGTTCAACACCAATCCCCTGATTTTCAAGGAACAACTCTGCCTCAAGAATTGACTCTAAACAGAGATCAAACTCTTCTGCTGCTCAAGCAGTCCCCTCTCTCCTCAAGCTATCCCTGCACAAAACCACTACATAATCCACCACACCACCACAGAATGTCTTCCCAAGAGTCAAAACTTGCTTTCACAATAAGAAAAAGAACTTGGGACACAATGTATAACTGATATCTGCCACAACAATAGTTATTACACTAAAATCTTTCTTACTGAGAAAAAACAATTATGACATGGATTTTGTATAGCAAGCAGCTTATTAATTAACTTTGCCCCAATTATTCTCCCACTGAAGTAACTGAAATTTCACCACTGACTTCAGTGGTAGCTAAATCAGGCCCCTAATAATTAACTGACAATATAGTCTCTGGCTAAAATATTTCCCAAGTATCTATTAGCAGTGAAAGATGATAGCTGAGACAGTAAGGAACAGACAAAGTGAATTTTCACTGTGCTATGGCATGCAGAAAAAAATTATGCTTCAATTCATGCAGTAAGTATAACTGGTGAGGAAAGAACAAGGAACACCAGATTTGCAATGGAAATCTATTGGTGATAATTGTTTATGTTGTCTTCTTGTAATACAGACAGATGCTGTAATAGGTTTCAGTTTCATTGCGTTCCCTATAGTAGGTACATCTTCAGTAGACATGATATTATGTGATTCATTTTTGCTAGTGATTTACATAGAAATTAAATATACAGTACCATAATTTTTTAACTAAAAAAATTACTATTAACC